GAGATAAAGTTTGTCAAAATCACGGACATAAGTGCCGACTTACAAGGAGAAACGCTGTTTTTGGTATGACGTAAATGGAGGAACCTACATTAAAATTGTTAGGAATTGGTTTAAACCAACGTTTGAAATAGTTTTATATCAATTTAGAATGTGATGGAAGCTTTCTCCGAAATTTAGACTCGAAAATTTGAACAATAGGACAATTGGTCAAAAAATACCAAAAAACCTTTTTTCCCAACAAATTTTCTGATACTTTTTAAAAAAAGTTTCGTAAATTTGGATTAGTTTTTTGCGTAGAACTCATTTTTTAACTTTTTAAATTTTTCCTTGAATCAAAAATGACAGACAGGAAAGGATATATACAGTAACACAAAAAATGAATCTCAAAAACACTAGTACCAGGAACGTTCATCAGGTCTCTCAAGATTATGGAAAAATAACGAAACGATTGGACCCATAATTATGTCCCGCAGTGTAGTCAAATATTTTTGAGCAATCCATACATAAGAAAAAAAAATCAAACTGTTCCAAATGGGCTGTTATTACATTTGATTAACTCAACGTCAATTGGAACATTTTTTTATTTGGCTACGAATTTTTTTTTCATTCCGGCTTTCTCGAGGTGGAACACTGTTAAATCATTTATATACTTCACCACAATCTAGGTTTTTCTTCAAGGATCAGAGAAATACATTTTTAAAAATTGATAAAATCAAAAATTCTCATACTGCAAGAAACTGGTCTACCCCCATGTTATATATCCATCTTAACGTAGAACTAGAAACCATCTGTGACCTGCTTTTCTAAAAAACTTCAGCCAATATAAAATGTCCATCCTTTAAGGATTCCGGTCACAAAATATGTTACTTTCATCTCTACAGAGAAAAAACTTCTGTGACCTACTTTTAAAAAAATTTGACCTATTTATTAATTCCCGTTTCTCAAGAATCCCATACACCTAGTTTGGGGCTTCTACCTATAAAATCAACAAAAATACAAATCTGACCTAGTTAATGTCACTTGATGACCTGATTTCAATTTTACACTAATTGCTCTTTCCAACCATCCAATATGGTACCTCTACCATCAAAACCGACTAAATTCCAATTTTGACCTAGATAGAGGTATCATTTGACCTAGTTACGCAGCTGACCTAATTTCATGTTCCAATCTTCATCCCCACCCATCATAACCATCCACCCCCAGTCACTCACCCTTCAAAAATAATAAAATCCTGGTGCCCTCAAAACAATTTAGCGTGACCTTCCACGTTTCATGGTCGATGAAGGGGGAAATCCTTCAGAAAAATCATTCTTGCTCTTTTTCACCCTCCTGATTGGTGACTTTTTTCGCTCTCTCGCTCCCTCCCAGCGTCTGTTTCGAAGGTAAATTTGATATTTTTTTCAATGACAAGTAGTTGGTGTGTATAAGTGATAGTTGGGCAAAAATGTTAAGTATATTTTGGAATGTAGATCACGCCAAAAATTAATTAGGTCATCCAAAAAATCCAAAAAAATCAGAAAAAAAGTCAGAAAACGTCATATAAATAGTTATAAAAAAGTGTTGAGCATATTTTGGAATTTAGGTCACGCCAAAAAATAATCAGGTCACTAAATTTTGAGAGAAAAACAGAAAGAGTCAGAAAAAATCAGCAAAAGCTACAAATTTTAACTGCAGAAAGAAAAACTGAAATTTTTTCAGTATGTCTGGCTACGATAATCTACTGAATCTTACTGGAAGCCACATTAGAGGATACCAGCTCTCTCGATTGATTGGCCATGGATCTTATGGCGCTGTCTATCAAGCGATTAGCGGCTTGGATACCATTGCCATGAAGGTGTCAATGCAGGAAGAAGACCTGCTCATCGAAGCATCGGCTCTACAACTGTTATACTACAGTAACATTTCCCCGAGATTCCATTTCACTGGCAAATATGGTCCCTATCACATAATCGGTGAGTTTTTTTCATACATAAAATAAAAACAAGTAGGCTGATTTTTCATAATACCTATGTAAATCATTAACTTCAAGAAACTTAACTGAAAAACGTGAAAATTGAAGAAATGTTATTTTTTTGGAAAATACGCCGCTTGTCATGAAGTAGTTGTGCTATTTTATTTTGATATTGACACTCAATTTTTGAAAAGCTAGTATTCCAAAAAATTATGCATCGATAGAATAGTATCAAAGAACGTTATTATCTAACTTTGAACTAAAATTTCGTTGATGTCTCACTAAAACTTTTGATTTTTGATACAAATTACATGAATGAATTGAACTAGATTTTAAAGAACTGTGTCTAAAAATAAGAATTTTTTAGTTTAAAAGAAATGAGAAAATCTTGTTCAAAGTCATTTTTCTATATCAGAAACTGGAAAATCATTTGAAAAATGTGAAAGATTTTCAGTAGATTCATGCGTCTATTTACTTTTTTTTTTGAATAATTCGGCTGATTGGTTGAGATTAAATTATTTCCATAGATAAATGTTCATGAATACGGTCTCTGGAAAAAACTACTTCCTGTAATTGAAAATACAATAATTTAAATATTTTCAGGAATGGAACTCCTTACTTACGACCTTGAATTGATTCGTGAAACGACACCATGGAAGTCATACAAACGTCCTACTTTGATTAGAATTGCTTATCAAATGATGAAATGCCTCCAGGCATTACACGAATTGCGATTGGTTCATAGGGATGTGAAGTTATCCAATTTCGCCCTAACGCAACCCAAGACTC